ACGTCTTCGTATAGCCCCCATATAACGTTACCCCCCGAAATTCGGTATTTTGATGATTTTAGCGACATTATTTAGCGGAATTGTTCCAAATTTGGTATTTGAAGTTCGTAATAGAAAATGGCCCATGTAGGTCCACGTCTTCATATAGCCCCCATATACCGTACCCCCCAATATTCGGCATTTTGATGATTTTAGCGACACTATTTATCGGGATTGTTTCAAATTTCGCATGTGAAGTTCGTAATGGATATTTCAGCCCATGCCAGAAAATTGTCTGTGCAGGTCCACGTCTACGTATAGCCCCATATAACGGTACCCCCCATTTTCGGAATTTTGATGATTTTAGCTACATTATAAACAGATATTTCTTCAAGCTTCGCATGTAAATATTGTAATAACTTTTGAAAAAAGTTGCCTATGCAGGTCCACGTCGTCGTATAAGCATTCGGTATTTTAAGGGTTTTAACAGAATTCTTAACGGATTTTATTATTATTTTTTTTTTTGAAATTGCCAAATTTGTACCAAATGGTGGAGGGTATTAAAAGTTCGGCCCGGCCGAACTTACAGATTTTTTACTTGTTTTACCTTATTTCTGTCTAAGGGCTATCAGAGCTAAAAACGTGGACTTTGAAAGATATTTTTTTAAGGATATTAAAAGGATTTTTTTAAATTTATCTTGAGGAACTATCAGAGCCATAAACGTTTATTTTTCAAGAATATTTTTTCAAGGACTATCACTGCTAAAATCAAAATATTTTTTCAAGAATTGAGAGATATAAACGTGCATTTTTGAAGAATACTTTTCAAGGACTATCAGAGATAAACTTCATTTTTTAATATTATTTTCTAAAGAGTTCCAGAGCTACAATAGTGGATTGGTTATTTCTTTTTTTTTCTGTTCAAGGACTATTCGAGCTACAAACGTGGACTTTTTCTAAATATTTTTTAAGGAATATCAGAGATTAAAACAGGGATTTTAAATAAATTTAAGAGGATTTTTTAGGAATATTTTTTATGAACTTTAGAGCTCTAAATGTTCATTTTTTAAGAATACCACTGCTAAGAACGAGGATTTCTGACAAATATTTTTTTTCAAGGATGCAAAGATACAAACGTCAATTTCTTACGTATGTTTTTCAAGGACTATCAGAGCTATAAATGTAATTTTTTAAGAATAGTTTTTAAATATTTCAGAGCTACAAAAGTTAATTTTTATCTTTATTCAGTCCAAGGACAATCAGAGCCACATACGTGGATTTTTACGTACATTATTTCAATTACTGGGACAAGAATTTTTAAAGATAATTTAAAAGATTTCTTTGAATATTTCTTGAGGAACTATAAGAGTTCCCAGCGCTGATTTTCCAGTATTTTTTTTTTTAATAAAAGGATGGTTTCTGAATAATATTTTTTAAAAAAAAATTAAAAAAATGGTAATGTTTTAAGAAAATTTTACAAATACGATCGGAGTTATAAACGTGAATTAAAAAAAAATATTTTTGTGAATTTTTGATGAACATTTTATCACTGCTAAAAACAAGGATTTCTAAAAATATTATTTTAGGGAAAAAGGTACAAACGTGAATTTTTTGAGAATATTTTTTCAAGTACGACCAGAGCTATTAATGTCGATTTAAAAATGTTTATTTTTTCAAGAATTTTTTTCAAGGACTATTAGAGCTATTAACTTAATTTTTTTTTATAATTTTTTTCTAACTTCAAGAGCTACTACGGCGAATTTTTATATTTTTTTCTTTACAAGGACACTCAGATCTAAAAATGTATTATTTTAAGGAGCTATAACCATGGTGTTTTTAAAGATATTTTTAAGGTCTTTAACAATATTTTTTGAGGAACTATAAACTAAACTTTTATTATCCAGAATATTTTTTAAGGACTATCACTGCCACAAGGGGGTTTCTGAAGAATTTTTTTCAGCGAAATACGTATAAACCTTGATTTTTTGAGAATATGTTTTCAAGTATGATCTGAGCTAAAAAAATGGATTTACAAAATATTTTTTCAAAAAAATTTTTTTTTTTCGATTTTTTAATATTATTTTTTCAAAGACTATTTGAGCTATAACTTGGATCCTTTACTTTTATAAATAGTAGAAATATTAGAAAAAAAAGAGATTCCTGGAGAACATTTTATCCTTAACTTTGTTAGTGATATTTCGTCAACGACATCGAAGCTACAAATTAACTAAGAACGAGAATTTTTTTAAAATACAATTCTAGTAAAAATGTGCATTTATAAGGAATATTTTTTGTAGGACTATCGAAAAATTTTTAAGTCTTTTTAAGCTTTAAAAGTGAAGATTTGAAGAATATTTTTCAAGGACTATCAGATGTATAAACGAGGATTTTTAAACATTTTTATTCAAGGTCTATCGGAGCTATAAATGTGGATTCTTGAGATATTTTTTTAAGGACTATCCGTGTTATAAACGAGGATTTATAAAAAAAAAAAACTTTTTTAAAGACCTTCATGGCTATGAATGTGGATTTCAGAGTTATAAACGTGTATTTTTTGAAAAAGAGAGAAGTTTTTCAAAGACTATCCGGGCTATGACCATAGATTCTTAAACATCTTTTTAAGGACTATCGGAGCTAAAAACTTGTATTTTTATAACATACTTTTTGGAGGACTGCCAAAGGAGAATTTTTACGAATGTTTTTCAAGGACTAACGTAGATTTTTGTACCTCCAGCAATGTGGTTAAAGGAGGTGGATATCATTTGATACGGGCCTCATCAAAATAACGGTTTAAGACCCTAGGTCTTTTCGGATGAAATCCATTTAAGGACAATTAGAGTCGATTCTGTCCATCTCCGTTTGTCTGGCTGGTGTCCACGGTAACTCTCCAAAGGAGTTTAATATTATTATCAAACATAGAGCGAGTTCGGAGATATGTACTATCGGTCCACTTTTTTTTGGAACCACCCCAACAAAGACTCAAAGTAATGAATAACCATAACCCTCATAGAATGCAAAATGAACATCAGATTCTTTTCAAACTTGGCACATCCGAAAATGACCATCAGCACAACATCTGGTGTGCGGATGGTGGATAAATCGGACCTCTTTTGCTAGTACCTCTCCCACAATGGGTAAACATTTTGAATTATTATTATTCTCAGCAAATGCGGAATATGTTGGTGTATCTAAAAATTTCCCATCCCGAATTTTAAAACCACCGCTAAATCTCAAATACAGATACCATAATTTTTAGAATTTTATCTCTATCCTTTCGCCCAATACCGAATATTGCACCATTCAGAACTACTCGTAGAATTATAGTAAACATTTTGAGAACCACCTCCATATGTTCAGGCTACACATAAATATAATAGTAAATTTCAAATTTCAAGCACTATCTGCCCACCGAATACTAAATTGTTCCAAATATAGTACCACATAGTACTTCTCGTACAAATATAGTACACATTTTCGAAATCATCTTCATATATTTCACTTACTTTCCAACTCTAATTCCCTTACCAAATTTCAAGTTTTTAATAGTTTATTACAATTTTAAAATTTTCCATAACCTTTAACTTCGAATTTCCAAAATCTCGTTGGTACATCTATCCAGCACTCCATCAGTGACTCTCATTCCAAAATTTCAGAATTTTAGCTCATTCCGTTTGTCCAAAAAAAAATTATTACATTTTTAGTATATTTTAGTACTATTTGTACCGTTTTAATACGAATTCTAGATCCTAGCTTCACCCATTTCGTGAGGGCCTGGATTCTCAGTCAGTAAGTCAGTTATTTCACTACTTTTTTATAAAAGCACATAGGCTGAGAGTATACATCTGTCGTCAGGACTGAGTGATGCTTTGTTTAAACTCCGACTTTTTAAGTGAATATTTTTTAGAGATAGGTATTTTTACCCTTATTCCGGAAAGTATATTTTTCTTGCAGGACGGGCTCAGATTTGACCCGAAAGTCCAGATCTTGTATAGGATAGGCATTTTCATTACCTTTTAAATTATATCTTCATTGCCAAAATCGGTTTATTAAATGTGTGTCTAACCCGGATATTTCCCCCGGACTTTCGGGTCAAAAAACATGTGCACATTCGCCCAAAAAAAACAAAAAAAAAAAAAAAAAATTCTGGCATAAATACCTACCTCTGGAAAAAAAAATCCAAGGGATTTTACTAAACTAGAGTTGATCTGAAGATTCTATAAAGCAAGTAAACACTCTCGGTTCGTAAATTTTTTTAAAGGTCTACCAGTGATTAATTATAAAAATTACGTTTTAACCTTTACATATGAATATGGAATCACCCTGAAGGACATTGTCGTTTAATCTTCATTCCCCGCCTTACATCCATGTGCCCCGCACCACCACATGATTACTGATTCATTGCAAATAATGTGTGTAGTCGGGTTTTGACAGGACCCATTAACTTAATGGAAAGGAAAGGAAAACTGTTAGACCATGAACCCTAAATTAAGATTAATGATGAGAAGCTGGTTCAAGGCTGTTTGTTGGCGGTGGGTGCCATTTAAGCTAACGGCTTCAGGGTGCAAAAATATAGAAGGCGGCAAACAGCAAACATATGAACTGGGAAATATTTTTAATTTTTTGGTTTAAATTTAGCAACCTTCGTTTTAAATGTAATTAGAAATTTCGTTTTAAATTTAGTCTGGTCGTAAATTGCTATAAATTGCAGAAATCTAATTTTCCAAGTGTCTAGGAAACTTTTTGATTAAATAATTTTGGGTTGCTGCACAACCAGGCAAAGAGGCAGCCATGACAACCAAAGTAAATTAACAACAATTTCATCGTTATCCTCTTTAAGATGAGAGTAAGATGAGCTAAATTTGTAGATGTTTTATTTCTGGCTGGATGGCTCACTGGCTCACTGGCTTGGTTGCGATGATGCTTTTGCCCTAAAATGCCATCACTTGTCTACCCAACAACAATTCATTCCAGTTTTAATGTTTTTTTCTCTCTCCCTCTCTCTCTCTATCGTTTTTTTGCAGAGTCCTAAATTCGCACCACCCATTGAGTTTGTCGATGAGGCAGCACTTAGTCCACCCGATGGCTACAAGGATAATGGCCTGAAAAACACACTTGGCGGTGCTCTGAGCGGACACATCTTTGGTGCCCAGCACCTGCAGCAGTTGCAAGTCATTCAGCGTTTGCAACAGCAACGAGCTGCCATGCTGGCTGCTCGCAACAATTCACAAATTCCGCCACCACCTCCACCCGTTAATCAACAGCAGCAGCAACAACAACAACAACAGCACCCGTCGTCACCAGCATCCGGTGCGTCGTCGGCAGCAGGAACAGCATCATCGGCCACATCAAACACCTCGGTACCAACATCGGGATCAGCAGCCAATAACGGCGGCAATGTTGCGACCACCATTCAACTGCAACATTCGCCCGACGATGATCCACAGGGGGTGTGCACGGAATGTGCGGAGTGCGCTGAATGTGCGGCAAAGCAATTACAGCAGGATACAGGTAAATTACATGACTGGGTGGGCATCGGACTTTGTGTGCCACCAATTTGGAAAGTAGCAACAACAACTACAACAACTGGCATTGTTGTATTGTATGTAAATAATTTAATGATACAACGCAAAAATAGTTACTCCAATTTTATGTGGCCCAACAGGAAGGCAGGCAGGTTGTGCTCTCCTCTCCCGTTGTAAAAGTGCCATAAGCTATAATTTCATTGCAAATAAGGAAGTGCCATAAACGATTATTTTCAGGCCTCCTCCTCTCTCTCTCTCTACCTACCAATGATGAGAGGGGGCGGGGGAGTTGTGTTTGTCCTGGCCGTACAGACAATTTATAAAACAAGTGGACAAATTATTAGCCCATAAATATGAGAGCCATAGACCAGCAGAGATAGATAGAGAAGGATGAACGAATATGGAAATGAAGGCAAGGGTGTGTTGGAAATAATTCGCGTCTAGGTGAAATATAAAAGTTAATTGCCAACAAGATAGCAGTTAGAATATTTGATATGATTTTTAATGAGAAAGGGAGGGGGGATATTGAAGGTAGGGGAATTTGCGAACGCTTTTAGTTGGCCAGAACATTTAACGATTGATGTACCTAATACCCATAAAGTAAACTCAGGTTTTAATGAAATCGTTTGTCTTGTTGTCTCGAGTTTGAAAAAATGGTAAATTTTTCACTCATTTAAATTTGTGAAATTAAGCGAAGAGAGAGCCCGATATAGTCCAATTCTGGCACATGACATGGCTGGATCGGAAAATGCGAAAATTTATCTACTTTTTCTCATAACTCTCACAAATTCCAAATATTTGAGATAAAATACATCACAAAAGAGTGAAGAGTGAAGTCTAAGGTGAACATGGGATATTTTCCCCATAAATGGTTAAAATTTTTAAAAAATATATGTCACCTAAAAATCGGACTTTCACAGTGTAGTTCAACCTTAATATTTGTGTCAAACTATAGGAAAAATATTTCAGTCTTGTTTTTTTAATTTCCTTACCAAAAATTATTTAATTTTTCATAACCATTTTTGAAGACGAAATTTTAAAGAACCTTCTGACGGAAACTCTTTTTTTTTTTTTGTAAAAGAAAAAATTGAAGGATTTTAGCAAAAATCTTTAATTTTTTTAAATATATATTTTAAATTTCCTGGTCAAATATCATTTCCGGGCCAAAAATCATAATTTTTATATAATATTTTTTTGACATTCTAATTAAAAATTGTGAACTTTTTAAAATTTTCAAGAATTTCGTATCAACAATATACTGGATTTTGTCAGAATATTTTATAGGGGTTTGTAACTAAAAAATCGGGAACTTTTTAAGGATAGTTAATTATTGAGATCTTACGATCAAAAATCATAAAATATTTTAAGAAAAAATCGCGGATACATATTTTTAAATATATATATCAAGGACCACCAAGCCTAAAGTCGTTTTTCAAATTATTTTTTTTACCTGGTAAAAATGTTTATGCCCTCAGCAATACGGCTTCTCAGGCTACTCATATCTTTGATACGACCTAAATGTGCCTTATTGAAATATTTATTTTAAGACTCTAGGTCTATTTGGACATTTGGAGTCGATCGGTCCGGAGAAGAGAGTACATCGTACTATTATTATGAAATATAGATTAATTTCGGAGATGGGCAATAGTGGTCTACACCATTTGGTACCACCCAACTCAAAAGGTCAACATTTCAAAAAAAAAAACCTTACCTTATAAAAAGAGGAAGAGTCATAGATTTTTTTTCTAACTTTGCAAGTCCTAATATTTCAGTGCATTGTTAGGTGCGACAATGGCAATATCGGACGACTCATTCTGATACCTCCCCCATAACAGGTCACAATTTTAAACAGCCGAACCCTCATAGAAGTCGAAATAAGCATTCGATCGTATTCAAATTTCACACATCTCAATATTTTTCTAAAACTTGATCTGGTATGAAGATGACATTTATCGACCCACATGGTACCTCTTTCACGAAAGATCAAATATTTGAAAAACCAAAGCGCTCATAAAAGGCGGAATAGGCATTCAATTCCCTTCAAATTCTGGTACCTTCCCCACAAAGGGTCTCAGTTATCATAGTTATATCTCTCATAAAATGCGAAGTATTTTTAAACATGATACATCTAAAAATTGTTCTTAAAGAGGAATGTGAACATGGAATTATCGGTCCACTTTGTTTAACTCGATATTTCTGCTAATCATAGATCTAATGTAAATATGGATATTTCGGTTCACCTTTTCTGGTACCCTCCAAAATTTTTTTTAACCTGGCACATTCCAATGTTTTTTTTTTTTTCAGCAGTATCTGATGAATTGTGAAATTAATATACAGCTGTTTCGGAATTGTTTTGTCAGAAAAATGTTGAATTTTTTTAATTTATTTTTCAAAGAGAATTCAATTTCAAATTGAGAATTCAATATCAAGTAATTTTGATAGCATACTCTTCAGATTTTCTAAAGATAAATTAAGGAACTCCTGATCACATTCCGCATTTTTGTAAAACCTCATGACCGAAAACCGTCTATTTTTAAAGAGTTCCTGATCAAAAGAGTTCATGTCATAAACGCTATATCGTTGCTTCTGTTAAGGAAATATAGGACTTTTTTAGGGTAAGAATTATTTTGGATGTCATGACCTAAAATCTTGGATTTTTTTTAAAAAAATGTTTTTTTATTTTTTTTTTTTAATTTAAGGAATTTCAATGTTTTTCAAGAATTCAGACCAAAAATATTTTTAAAAAATACGCTGGCTAAAAATGGCGGTGGTTAAAAGACATGTTTTCCAAAAATATTATTTTACAGAAAATATTCTCAACGACCTCCTGACCAAAAACCGTGGCTGTTTTAAGAAAATTTTTAAGATTTTTTGTTAAAAAATCAATCATTTTTAGGAACCACTTTCTAACTTAAAATCGTTAAATTTTTGTATTGATTAAAAAAATTCTCTTCAATTTTTAGACCGAAAATCGTGGGATATTTAAGTATTTAGTTAAAAAATAATGAATTTTCTAACTATATTATTAAGATTGTCCTCCAATGATCATTTTTAAAGGCTGAAAATCTTTTATTTTTATAGTACAGCCAGTCCAAAAATTGGGACTTTTAAAGAATTCTTAGCGATCTTAGCGTTTCACTTTGTGTCGAATTTTCAAATTCGGGTCTAACCCTTTTAAAATTTTACGTCAAGTTACCATCCTTTTCCTCAACAAATAAATACATTCTCGTAACAACTCTAAATTGACCTGAAAATATCCCCTAAAATCACCTGCTCCTTTCCACTAAAAACTTCTGTCCTCGGTATAAATGAAAATTGTGGTCCACCACCAAACCAAATGAAATTCATGCCACTAAAAATAATAATGAATATAATTTTCTACAAACTTTTATTACCTTCTTCTGCAGTGCTTCGTTCCGTCATTCTATTCGTGGCCAAATGCCATTTTAAAATCTATAAAATCACCATACATTTTTAACAATTCTTTTGGTCTCATTTTCATTAAAAACGTTAAATGTTCGAAATGGAATGCATTCACAAAAATTAGCCAAAAAATTAGCAGATCCTCCACTAACACACACACACATACACATACAATGGACGGAATGACAAAATAACAAAAAAAAACCTAATTACCTTCCTTTATGTGCAATACATATGCATGCATATGTACGGGTGAAACTTAGGGATGCCAGTTGGTAACACATTTTTCCATAAGGCAAAAATTTGAGTTCTCTGGGGACAAAAAATAAATTGAAAATATCGAATGTTGGAAACCTGAATATTAACATCGTTGAGTTTTTGATCTTTTCTTCAGAATTTTTTAAGAATTTAAATTTCAGATTCGAAAAAAAAAAATTCTACAGCCTCAATATGTAGAGTACTTTATTAATGAGGTCTTAAGCTTCCAACGTCGTTAAGGCTTCATTCTAGCTCTGTGTTCAACAGTTAATTTTCAACAAACCTGATACTTTAAACCTGAAACAAAGGGAGATATGAAAATCATCTGGTATTCAAAATTTTCTGGGCTATCACCATCCCTAATGAGCTTCAACTAAATACAAATTAGCCCCGAACCCCTGCCTTAAAAAAACAACACTCCTGACAAAAAAAGCAAAGAAAACTTCGTTTTTTGTTCTTTAAAATTCTGAGTCTTGGTCCCCATGTTTCCCTGTTTCTCTTCGAACCATTAAAAGTCCAAAAAACTTTGCACCGGTAGACAAACATAGATAAATATACACCACCCTCCCCTCCCCCCCTTAATGTTGTTGTCAACACCATTAAGGTTTGTTTTTGTTTGTGAAAAGATTTTCCAAATGCATTTTGTTGGACAATGAATGGATGGATGGAGAGATGGACGGACGGACGGACGGCCGGTCGGGTCGCTTGGCTGGTGTTATCCTATATGTAAATCTCTGCTAGCCTCCAACCAAACAGATTGCAGCTCAAAACCAAAAGCACCACCACCATCACCACTTGCCGCAGCAGCAGCTGCTGCTGCTGATGTTGTTGAGCAAATTTGTTGGTGAAAAGCCATTAGAATGACATCAGACTAATTACATCATTGTCAGCAGTTAACCCAAAGTTTAATTGAGAGTAGTTTCTCCATTGTTCCACAAACACAATGGCCATAAGCAAGTGTGTGTGTGTGAGAGCGTGTTTGTGTGGCTCTGTGTGTGTGAGTGAGCGGCAGTGCAATAACAATTGTGGCATGTGGCAGGCGGCAAATAAATGTGTCAAATCAAATGTTAAATTTTTTGAAAAGTTTAAAAATACCATTTTTATCGATTTAGTTTTTTTCTTTTCAATTGGATTGAACTTTGAGTGATTCGACAGGGTGTTCTCTTCTTTTATGGGGAAAGTTCTCTTCTTTTATGAATGTTTGTCGGCAATCAGAAATAAATATTTCCTTATTTTCTTAAAGTTATTAAATACTAAAAATAATGGGATTAAATAATTGGCTAGTTCCCAGTCGATTGATCTACC